ACCCAGCAGAGGATAATTTTACACACTTATACTTGACCACCCTCTGAACAACTCTACCTTGGTTTTTGTTTTCTTCTTTCTCACATGCTTTTCTTTTTTTTTCTTCAAAGATAGGGTGTCCCGCTGAGGGACAGCACCCAGGCCCAGAGTTCAAGCCCCACAAAAAAACCAGATAGGGTCTTCCTATGTATCTCAGGCTCACCTGGAACTTGTCATCCTCCTGCCTCAGCTTCCCAAGTGCTGGGATAGCAAGAGTGTACCACTGTGCTTGGCATTGGGCATTATTCCCTCTCTCTTTCCCTCCCCTCTCGTTAAGGTACTGGGGCTTGCACTCCAGACTTTGTACTTGCCGGCAGGTGCTATACTACTTGGGTTATGCCTCCAGCCATTTTTCCTCTGGTTATTTTCTTTTCTTTTCTTCTTTTTTTGTTTTTTTTGCTGGTATCAGAGTTTTCACTCAGGGTCTCATACATGCTCAGCTTGTGCCCCTCCACTTGAGCCTTGCCTCCAGCCTGACTTTTGGAGATGGCTCCTCACTGACTCTTCTGCCTGCGGTAGCCCCCAATGGTCATTCTCTGGATCTTAGCCTCTCTAGTAGCCGTGATGATAGACATGAGCCACCAGCACCTGGCTTGCTCACTTCATCTCTTTGTTGGGGCTTTCTACTGTAGTTGTGATGACAGGCACCCAACACCACACACAGTTTTTTTTTTTTCTATTGAGATAGTCTCTCAACCGTTTTACCTGGACCCATCAGGAACTCCCATCCTTCCTGTTAAATGACAGGTGCAGGCCATTGTACCCAGCTATTGGTTGGAATGGAATCTTTTGCCCAAGCTGGCCATGAACAGTGATCCTCTTGATCTTTGCTTCCTGAGTAGCTAAGATCACAGGTGTGGACCACTGGCACCCAGTGCATTATTCTCATTTTATAGATGCAAAAACAAACAAACAAAAACCAACATTCAGAGTAATCACACAGGTAGAAGGTAGCCAAGAAAGAGTTCAGATATGCATCTGCCACCTCCAGGTCTAGAGCTCTATCCACCTGGTCAGGATTGTTGTGCTTTGAATCACTGGAGGATAGTTGACTAACTGCAGTCCTGAAATTTGCCTGATTGTGGCTCAATTTTGGGCTTGAAGCTATAGTGATCTGGTCAAGAGGCAGAATTAGGAGAAGAAGAGTAGCTGAGTATAGAGGTTTAAGTCTAGGTAGTTCATATGTGTGGGGGAATATATATATTGCACATTTATAATTATACATATAAACATATGTTCTATAAGTACACTATATTTGTATTGTACTGTTAAATTCAGATTGACTACAAATACTAACATAAAGGAGGCTAGGGATATAACTCAGTAATAGAGTGCTTCTTAGAATGTGTGAGGCCCTGGGTTCAATTGCCACAAAAAGAAGTTAAAAAAAGAAGAGAGGAAAATATTAACATAAAACATAAGAATCTATTAAGCAGGTGCTCTTGTACTTTCCTCCTTTTCAACTCATTTTTTCTAACTTTGTCTTTTATAGACAAAAATTAATTATACTATCCACAGCAATACAGTTTTCTTCTTTTCAAATTAGAACTTATTATTGAGTAGAAGACAGGTAAGGGTGAGGAAAGAATGAGTTTGCCAATAGGTCTAGGTCTCAGGTTTGAGGCAATAAGGGCACCTTGTCACTCTGTCACTGCCACTTACTGCTAAAGATGAGGTCAAGAGCTGTTCCAGACCATTGGAGCCTCCATGCAGCAAAGCACTGCTTAGTTCTCCAATGTGACTACTGGCAGAGCTTGGCAGTGATCTGGGCGGGCGGGGGTGGGGGGGCATCTAGATTTGTTTAATAAGTCTAAGAGACTGACCCCGGTTCAAAAGCCACCCTACATCAAAGAACATAGGCAATCAAGAAATGTCCCAGGCTTGGACTGAGAGAGATGCTACTACAGAAATCATGATTTTTTTTTTTAAAAGCTCCTTCACAGATCTACTTTTGTAGCTCAGATCTTGAAGCCTGGTTGTCCTATGAGTATAGTTTTGGAGCTCTGGGTTCAAATTTTAGGTGTGGTCTAAAAATCACTGCAGGCAACTTATTTTATCTCTAGAGCTTTGGGTTGTAGATTTGTTAAAATTAGAAGTCTAATTGCCAGGGATGGGGGTCAGGGGTGTAGCTCAGTGCTAGAGCTTAATGTATGTGTTTAGGCCCTGGGTTCAATCCTTGGCATGCGCGTGTACGCACATACATACACAGTGCACAGTGATACAGAGGATTGTGGAGATTCTACTAATTAGATAAATCATCTAACAAAGAGCAAAGATTTAGTTCTTGTAAACCTTTATCATGGGTCTCTTCCAATGCACACCTGATTACTGCTAAGTGGTGAGCCTGGCAGAGCGAAGCCCAAGCTCCATAAATATATCTGATGCCAGCTGCACCCACACCTTATAATTCTTTTTTAACATTGATCGTATCTTTACAGACGTATTTGATAGGATAAGAATCATGTTCAAGGGAGGAAAGATGGCAGAACAAATGGCAAAGCTAATAGATGGATATACATTAGAACCTTGGAGACAGAATCTTAAGGAAATGAACTTTCACTTGGAGAAAGGGAGATTCAAAATGAATTTTAAAACCATGTATATGAGATACTAAGCAGGACATTTGCCCTAAGCCTTTAGACCACAAAAAAAAAAAAAGAAAGAGAAGAAAACAGTTGCATTTGTATTACAGAGGGAGGGAGGAAGAATGATTGGATTTAAAGACAAAGTTCTTTAAAATTTATTATTAAAAACTGGTGTTGTCAACTGCAGAAGACTAAGAGTTTTCTTGTGGGATTCTATTGAACAGTTTGCTTTCAAAGGTGTTGACCTGCTAAGTAGTTTCCCCCAGATATCTGAGGGAGGGAGTAGGGAGCAGAAGAAATGAAGAATAGTGTAGGGATGATTTTTGAACTCTGGAAAATAGTTGAAGCTCTTGGAAAGATTTCAAGTAGCAAAAAAATAAAATAAAATAAAAATTCAAATAGCATTCATCTCCTGAATTTCCTTCTGTGGGCCTCAGTTTCCTTTTCTGTAATATCACATGTTTGGATTCAGCTCTCTTTTGAGTCCCTTCCAATTCTGAAAATGTGTTCACAAAATGGATCCTGAGAATGTTAATAAGTCTATGAAAAGCTACATCTGCTCACAAGCCAGACTGTGATGAATGAGACCTGTGCGCAGAAAGGTGTTGAAGTCCTTGCTTAGGTGAGGGTTGGGGCCAGGTAACCCTGTGGGTTTGAACCCCTGTTCCTCCGCCAGTAGATTAGCTATTTCTCTGAACTTCAATATCCCACTCGTATTGGGGATAATAGTAGTCCATTTAGCTGTTGTGAGTTTAGGTTAAGTAATACAAGCACAACACAGAATAATTATCCTTAATAGCTCCTGGAAGTCAGGGACAGAGGGACCAACAAGATGTATTAATATTGGAAAAACAAGAATTTTAAAGCTGCTTATTTCTTAGGTTTTTATGTCTGTCTTTATTGAATTTGTAGGTATGTTGCTACAAAACCAGATCGTTTGCTGTTGTGGTGCTGATGGCTTTTGCCTTTATCACACTTGTCTCCTCCTTGTTTTGACAATATGCATCTCCACTCATTCCACTGTGCTGAATGCCCTGTTAAAATACCTGGTCTATGTCCACTTCTCTAGAGACCTGTACATGGTCTCTGTCCTTTTTTATTTATTAAAGGAGAACTACGAGAGTGATCATTTCACAGGGTTGGTACGTGTGTGGCTTTGGGTCCTTAAGCCATTTCTTGGCAAGTCCCAATGGGTAGTCTGGGCTCCTGGGAATCCTAGAGATGTCCCCATTTTTAGCTGCTCTTCTCCTCGTCTTGGGCTCTCCGGGTCCACCTTCGTCCTAGGAAACCCCTCTCTGGCTCTTCCAGAAAGCAAAAAAGCGGCACTGTCCACTCGCAGTCTCATCCCCGACAGGCCGAGAGGTGTTCACCGGCTGGATTCAGAACCAAGCTGAGGGAAGGGCGCGTGGCCTGGGCCAGGGTGGAGCAGCAGGTTATGCGCGCGTCTGGCCTTGGGGTTTGCTTCCCCGCAGGGGACACTGTAGGCGGCCGTGCGTGCGCTCCGTCCACTGCCGCCGCCTCCCCCCCGCCCCTCGTGTCCGGCCGCGCAGTGGGTTGCGGTCTCCGTGGGGGTGGGTGGCAGCGCCTGTCCTCGAGGTTTGCGTCTGGCGGGGCTCCCCGGAGCTGCGAGGAGCCCAGAGGCGAGGCCAGGGCGGGGTGGGGCGCGTCCGGGCGGGGAGGACAAACGCAGGCCGTGCAGGGGGCGCGGAGGGCAG